AAGACTTTTTGCAGGCATCGTCAGGAAGCAGGGATAGGTATGGTACTGATATGTAAGAAGTCTCAGGAGCTTTCTCCTTCTTAGCTGGCAACTATATTGAAAACAAAAATAAAATTTAAATTGGCCCTACGTCCCTATCAGGACACACGTGGAAGATTGCTGCATAGAGCAAAATGGAGGTGGCAATGCCTGGCTACCGTTTCTCGATTTGCAGAAGCGAATTATACTAGGGAACCAGCTACAACATCGAGGAGCAGGTTTTGCTGCCGAGATGTTCCAACTTCCAGAAGTTAAGACACTTTGCCATAGAGTGTAAAAGCGGAAAAATTAAAAAACGGTGATATTATAGATGTGCAACAATCAAACATATTCCCAGAGTGTGCTCGGAAAATGTCTCATACTGTCATAAGTGCAAGCAGAGCGGTTACTTTGTGAACTCCATGACTTGTTGTGCATTTGAAAAGGCAGTTTCGAAGCGAAAGAAAGCTGTACCAAAAGAAAACCGCCAAAGCGAAGGAACAAGCAGTGCAGAGGAGGAGGCAGCACTTCACAACAAAATCAATTACTAGGCACCGAACAGATACACAACGGATGCAGATGGTCGGACCAGGTTACCCCAAGGCAACCCCAAGGAAACCAGTATTATCATTATTAAAGGAAACTCCGGTAAAAGTATTAAGCAGCGTCAATGGTTTCGATTAAAGTAGCATGGGCCGGCCAACTGCAATCGCACTCGAGCGGCCCATGCCACAATGGGCGAATTATCGAAGGGAATCGAAGGAGAGCTGTGCTCACCTTTTTAGGCGTACCATACATAATACTAGTAATCGGCAGGTGCGACTGGGCTGCACAGCAACGCCTGCGTTAAAACGAATCGCCCTTTCTTAACAAAGAGCAAGGGGGAGGCCAGCAAGTTTACGTGAATAGAAATGCAAGTTGTGGGGAAAGTGTATATCACGCCGAACTGCACGCTGGAAGCGTATAAATCTTATTTGGACGACGTGACAGCTTCAATCCGCAGCTAAATAAAATTGTTTTTACAGGAGGCTTTAACGGAGATACGGAGGTTTACCAGTACGAATGAAAGGATGTCAGTAATAAATATACTGGACTTGATTGCTTAGAATAATAATAATAATAACGATGGAAGCCAACAAATCGCATGTGGATTTTACCATCAACAGCAAGGAAATTAAAAAAATGCCTAAAGATATGTGCCATAATAACCAGGAGGAATATACGCGAAAGTTAATTTTGGCTGTGTGGAAAACACGTATGTTGTATCCATTTAAAAAAAAATTTGGAGGATTTAGGCAAATCTGCGTGATAAGTTCTCTGGCTAAAAGCTTCAAAACAGTTTTCGTAAGATCTGCCCGGTCCTGACGACTAGTAGGGTTATATATCTGAAGAACAGAACGACCACGACCCTATGGATACCGTCAACGCCAGCGAAGCCGCCTCAAGGTTCTATACTAGGCCCACTCTTATAGAAGGTTGCCTACAGTAATGCCTTAAAACCGCGAGACGCTCGAAGCTAAGTAGTAGAGCTTCTGGCGTATACAGACTACTTGGTTTACAGGAAAAAAATGTTGCCGAGATATGTCAGTAAACCATTATGAATTATATTCTGTTCGTGCAAAAAAATTAATCATCATCTAATGGGAGGACAAGTTAGATTAGTGAACGAGGCTGGTCGGTATTTACGATAGATCTGGACTCTATGTTAAGATACCGCCTAATACATATGATCTAAGGAAGCCGAGCAAACGAAAAATTCTCGGTCGCCGAGTTCCTTAGTTTCCTTCGGGTCGTCGCCTTTACCGCTGTACTGCGAATTTCCCAAACATATAGTATAGACAGTATTTGCTTTCGTCGAGACACCCTCAGAGGGAAACGATGCTTAGAGTTGTAGACTTGAAGAATAAAGAGATGACATAATCCCGGATCAAAGAGGGGTGTGAACTCGGTGTGGCTATAGTCAAACAGAACTTGAAGGTTAAAGAGTGCAGTGGAAAATGTGATTCATGCCGGGCGCAAACAGCCCGGATTCCGGGGTGTAGATGTAGCATAGGGCGTCCGATGACGAATGTGGTCCCTTTATTTCACCTCAAAACGACATCTTCTGATTAGGTCGCTAAAAATATTCTGAACAATAACGCAGTTAAGGCGTCCGAAGACAGCTATACACGAACAATCAATCCTACTAGACGGGTTCGTTTCCCTGAGATATTCGGTCTTCGATTTCAACTCAGTCCTGATAATATTAACTTGGCTTTATCTTTTCAGTAACGCCACGCTTCCCGTACATCACACTATCGTCTCGGATAAGCATTAGCGTTTGCGTTAGGTTAAAATGGTTATTTCAATTTAATCTTTCGCTAACATTATTTGATCCCGTTATCGTTCTTACTTCAACATACGTTTATCCTTTAATTTCAAGTAAAGAATGTTTGAAAAGTTCCGCAGTCCTTTGTTACCCTGTTAGATAAAGATAGCCAAATAGTATCTGGAATAGTACTTGTAGTACTTGCAGTAAAAAAAAAAATTAAAAACAAAGTGGACACAACAAGTTTGATTTTGTGGAAATACAGCTCCCGACATACACATATGACAAGCTAAAAGAGATTTTTTCCCTAATATTATGTAATTTTTTTAATACTCTGTAGTTAATTGCACTGTTTTTGCATGCATTCCACTTAAATTGGTATTGTTATATGGAGCACACTAAAGTTACACAGAAGATAGATAAAATGTTCGGGCATCTGGAAGTTAAATTACGTACCTATTGTAACTGAAAAAGATAAATAGGGTCGATGGTCGACATGCTGAAATATTGGAGCGCATACTCGACGTATACACATATATGTATATATATTAGGCGGATCGGTATAGAAACGTTAATATTACGTATTATAGTTTAAAATAACGCTATTTTTTGCGCTGCGGTATTTTTTGCAAGACACTTGTATTTTATGGAATATGAAATTGCTTATCCGTAAATCGCCACATGGGTGAATTGTAGTGATAAAAAATAGGAAAGCTCGTAAGAGTGAAAGATCGTAAAGCTACAGTGGTGGAGACAGCTCGCAATATAGAACACGAGGAAGAGTCTGTTACTGAAAACACCATGAGTCATTTGTTTCAAAAAATTCCAGGAAGGGCATTTTGAACTCGGTAGTGAGTCTTGTAAAAAAAAAAAAACATCTGGGAAAATGAATAACCAAATATTAAGAGCTGTGGGAGAAGCCACCCATCTCAAAGCACACAAACGTTTGCGCTCAAGTTTAGTGTTTAGAAGAGCAGCCCACCATTTTTCTTTCGTTAAATTAAGACGGTTGAACTATGTTTGATGATTGCCACATACTGAAAACCAAGACGTAAAGGCGTTTGTTTTTCTTTCTCTCAAGTAACAATAATAAGCGATTTTGTCATTGAATGGGGACTTGTAATAAAAATCAAATCTTTCTTAATAATCCTGGACGGTCATGTTAGCGAATAAATGTAGCTGAATTAGTAGGATATTGTCTTGAAGCAAATGTACAGCTTCTTATAGTGTTTGCTTAGTAATCTAACGTAGCGTTATCCGCTACAGCTTCACGAGTGTAGTCCGTTAATTACTGCCGAAGTGCACAGTAAAAAATTGGATGAGATGAAGAACATCTTTCACATGAAGCAGCCGAAATTACTATACATAGCTATCCTATTAGGCCAACGCTCGACCTTACACCGTATAAATTATTACTAATTATTGTTATTATAAATGAAAAGTACCTTACCTAGACAGAAGTAACGCAAACGACTATTCATTTAAAACCTCGGCAAGCTTCTTACCAGGAAAATTGTTCAAGTCTCAGTATATTGTCGAAATTACCTGTCGAGATATTATAGCCTCTTGTATCCTATGCTTCTGCAGCAGTGAAGTGAATAAGTTATTAACGAAATTTCAGAGGGTACTAGATAGCAGTGCATACTAGATTGAAAAAAAAAGAGCCACACTTGTGAAAAAGGACTGGCATGTTAAGAATCTTTTACGTTGCATTTTATGCTGAGCGACCCAATATGCAACGTCAAAAAAACTAACGAGCAAATTTTGAAGGCTAGATCGTAGTAAAGTACTTCTCGAGTTGCAGCATGGAGTACTAATATATAATTGTACTATTAAATGTTGAAATTTGTGGGAAACTGACATGGAAGAATCTGTGTTGCATGTCAACTATTATTTAGATCAAAACAGTTTTTATATTAACTAGTAATAAGTTGATTAACTGAATCTTCACCTTAAAATTAAATTTCATAACAATAGACTGTTATGGCCATGAATCTAAGGTATCTGTGTAAACCTGGGATTGCGATATAGTTGAAATTATTTATGATGAATTACTACAAATCAGTTAGTAAAACAAGCACTCTGTAGGAGGCTATAACGTACTGCTTTTTCCATGCAACTCCATATCCTGTCATAATTAAAAACATCTAATTTTTTCAATGAAGCCATTTATGTTAATTGTATCAGGTATTCGAAATAGCGATAGTCAAGCTTCATCAACGAGTCATCGACGAATAAATCTTAACGTAAGTATCTTCGAGACTGTTGTTGCGATAGGAGATATAGAATAAGGTTGAAGCGATAAGGCGCTCTGTTCAAATACGATATTTAGGAATAATTTGATTAACTCAAAAAGCTTGGAGACATTGCTCCAATTGTCCCTAAATTTGTAGTAGTGATAATTTTGTTTTCAGTGAAATGGCGTACACTAGCTGAAGAAGTCCGAAATCTTTGGAAGCGTGCGTCGCCCTTTTATCATCAGTGTCAGGCGTGCTTAGCACACGCTACTTTGAGTATTAGTAATAATCCCACTGAAAATGTATAATTGCTTAAATTATACCAAGATGCACGATTACTTGCTAAACAACTAGGTTTTTTCCGCGCTTTGCTGGCTCTACTTGCAGCTAAATTATACTAAATAGAAGAGCAAACTAAATAGAAGTGCAAAAATAACTCCAGGTATTTACGTAATTTTATTTTGCATCTGAAAAGTTAGGCGTAAATAATTACAAATTATTTAGCCCAATAGATTAGTTATTTTAATCAATTTAGACATATGTAAAGAAGAGTCTCTTAACACATAGCCCTTTCTCGTATCAAGTCACTAATTCGTACACAATCAAATATTTCTCTATGTGGCATCTGCGAAGTCCAGCCTTGCATGGTCTCAATGAAGAACATGTTTACTGAGTCTTAGCACCCCCTAAAAAGTGTCCTCAAATTTGGGGATTTAGATTGACAATTATTCATATACAAAAGAGTATGTAGAAAGCGTTCATCAGAATGCATGCGTGCATCGTATAATTATGAACGATAATGTATGATCCATAAATACTCCAGAGTGGTTTACTATTCATATTTTATTAACGCGGTTCGCCATTTATCCGAAAATAACTTTTATATGTAGTTCTTGAAAAGAGAGATATGCAACAGGTAAGCTGCACAAGATTAGTACGTTACTACGTTACGTTCAATATCATGTTTTGTCCATTCTCTACAGTTATCTCATGCGAAATTTATAAGCCGATATGTTTATTGTTATAATATCCTGTAATTTTTTTCTGTAAGCGTGACTCGGTGCTTTCTACAAACACTTCGCTGCGAAGTTGTGAGTGCTATATATATACGTGGTATATCTGATAATTTATACTGGTTATTTAATCACCATTATTGTAGAATGATAAACCCATCCTAACAGCGTGCTAGTCGCATATATACAAACATACGAAAAGCCGGCAACCTGCCTTTGCCCGGCCCTGGCTTCGACTACATATCTATACATAACTAGCAACCTTTGTTTGCATATTTATATACATTATTATCAGCGTGCGATCCTCAGCTGTTAGCTCTATTTTAGGCTTCGATAAGGCATGGGAATCCCACCTGTTTATTGGTCATCACAATTTAACATGATTACCATTGCATCCTTTGCCGTTCACTCAATTAATCTGCACAGATACCTTACCCCAACCAGTCTATAAAGCCCTAAGCAAATCTGCTTTGCTGCAATAAACAAGCCACAGGCGAGGTTTTGTTATTTGACATCTGCTGGTACTCAGGTTTGAATTACCACTAAGGAGTTCCCCTTTGCAATAATTTTATTATGATCACAAAATTTCGCTTTTTGTTCAAAGTCAGAAATGGATTTGAAACAGATGAGGAAAAACATTATCGACATTTCTTATTTGTTTTCCACTAAAATCCGTAAAGCACAGAAACAACGCGGATAGCATCTTTGACTAAAGAAAGAATTATATTTTGAACCCATTGAGAATTGGCTTGGGAATTATGATGAAGAGTTAGTGTTAGATAAGCCTACATTTATTTTCCGGAATCGTCAATCTACACGGATCTTAATATTCACGGTATTTTTTGAGATTAGAAAAAAGGTAAATATAAAGATGCTGTTTCTGATCATTTGGCATACTCATCTTTTTACCCGGAAACGGGAGTAAATTTTATCGTTTATCGTAAACCGAATATAGTATGACAATGAGAACTGTATGGTACTTTTGGCTGACATAAAACAAAATTAAAAAGGAATGAGTAAAAATGAACACTAATTACCCCCAATCTAATAGGATCGCACATTTTTCACAATATAGTTGGTGATCGTCAAGGCTGGATTCTACGAGAGAGAGAGAGAGAGAGGGGGGGGGGGGCTAACATTAGGGTTCGCTATTGTAGTGGCAAGGTAAACGATAGCCTAATTTAATTAGAGTGTAATCCTTTGTAGCTCAGGGAACTCTTCATAATAGTTTATCTGTAAATCATCCAAAGGTGGCTAAGTAAAAATGAACGCTTATTAATGTGATGCTATCTATCATTATCCTGGCTTGCCAATAAAAAAGCACAACTTATTCTTCGTATTTTCTCATTTCTGCATTAAAATTTGCAATAATTTCTAATTATTGAACTATCTATATAAACCGTAAAAGTTAAGTGATTGCAAAGGACGACAACACCAAGATATACAAAACAGCAAGCATCGCATGTGCGAACTTCGTATAGACTTCTTATCTATTAGCTGGTCATTATATAAAGTCAACCCAACCTATAGTACATTCAATGTCCAGCTCATCGTATAATGGAGATATAATAGAAGACAGAAAACTGAATTAAATATGGTGGATTTCGTACAAATACCCAGAATGCTTAACGTGTTATCTTGCAACCCTCGATCTGTAGACTCGCGAAAAACAATAGAAAACGGCTAGGAACTTCGCTGATTGGCGCTGAATTAAGCAGCATCGTTCACCGATTAAATTGGACTCTTATGTTATAGCAGCAAGCAGCGTCCACAGTTTACGCCATAGAGACGGCCTCGCCGTAGCCTCCCGTATCGCACGTATTTACACGCTTGTAGTTTATTCCTCCTACACAGCGACGGGTTTCGTTATGGCGACTCCGACCTTCGATGATTAACGCAAGGATCTGTTTCATCCAATCACACAATAGTTGGTTAACTCACCTACGAAAAGGCTGTAGAAAAGTAATTAGATTTTAACGAATGCATAAACCATACGGTTAAGCGTTTCATTCTAATGTAAGGAAAACAGCACACTCCGTATTCAACGATTGTCTTTACTTTGGATGTAAAGATTCTGTTTCACATGACCCCAATCTCAATGAGCATCAGTAGTCTACTTCATAGAAGGCATACTTTCTTTGATGAGATATATTCGCCAATTGATGAGCTCTTCCTTCACCAAACGTTGTGTAGAACGTAGTATTTAAAGATCAATTATTTTTCAGGTTCATGCTGTGTGTATATGAGCTTGTGTAGGCAACGAATGTTGGACAGAAAGTTATGGTCAGCAATGAATACGACTGAAAAGGGGTAATGTTCGAAACTATTAGCGCTACACATAAGCAGAAGAAATTTATGCAATGTGTTTTGCTAATACCTGGCCTCGTATTCTGCTAATGTATAAACCTCCCCCATTTATATATATATATAAGGCTTCGATGGCAGAATCTGATCTTTTCAATTTGGATGTTACCTTCTGTCTCAATTCCATGATGAACCTAGTGTGTCTACTTACACATGCATTATACTTATCGAGTAAGTTGAATTCTGCTGAACTTCTACCACAAAAACTTAATCTCTTTTGTAGGACAGCTCCTTTAAAATGTATTCCAACTAATCTGAGTCAAATTTCGTGGTGCTTGTAGTGTCTAGGGTTCGCGAATAAATTTATCGCACGAGGAATCAGAACCCCAAATATGGACCATGACAAAGCCTTACAACACACAAACCATCTAAGTGTCGAACTTCGGATTGCGCACACTGTACCTACATTAGCTTTTTACCCGATATAAATTAAGGATCATAATTTAGAATAATTTTAACAGCATCAATATGTATTATTAATGGTATATATATATAAACATATCTGGGCTGATATTAAGAGTGGCTACGAACCTTTCGTTTATTGTGAACAGCAACGTATCCTGCCGTGCAAAGAAGCATCCCAACAGTAAATAAGATGAACATATGTGAATCTTCCTCATAAATCGCTGCAGAGACAAAAAAAAAAAAGATGAAAAAAAGTAATAAAAATGTATTATGGACATTGTCAGTCAGTTGTATAAGACTGTACAAATTTTAGCCACATTTTCGATGTGACTGATTATATGGTGACAATCCTGGGTTCATCTAAAATAAAAGTGAAATATCTTATTATTAAGGAGTTGCATTAATTTTGTCTATTCTTTCGCCATATTTTAGTACTTACTAGACGGACCCGCGGCCTATTTTACCTTTTATTGGACTCATCATTTGGTTCTTTCACATTACATCTAGCCTAACGTAATCTGTAGTGTACAGCAACCATGTCTTTGTTGCAATTATTCTGCTTTTCCTAACCAGTAGTTATTTAATCAGATGATTCTGATACGAACGGATTTGAACTATGTTACGCCTAGTTAAAGATATCTTACTTTGATTGCAGAGTTACATGTTCAAAATTTCACGGTTGCAGTTCTCCCAAGATTCAGAACCGCTGATTATATTATCCATTTGCATATATTCTATCGCAGTAATTTGTTTTTGTAGCTTCTTTATTTTCATTTTCCGCGCACACGTCACCGATGCAAAACCGCAAAGATTCATCCTGTTTGTTGTCGTTTCTGCCCCCCGCTGGAGAACGCTTACTGAATTTCTCATGTTCCGCCATTACAATTAATCTGTTCCTTAGCTTCGGCACTGACAGAAGCTTTCTACGCCCACAAAAATCACTATTACACCCTAAAAATTGCAAAACAAAACAGTTACTTAGCTTCAGTTCTTTGGCGCCAAGCTGTTGTAAAAACAAAAAAAAATCGTGACATGCTTACATTGAACGCGGTAGAGATTACTACCAAGCAAACTGAGATTCAATCGAATGAGGGCATGCGCAGCTGAATTATCAATACTCCTTCGACAGAGTAGCCCTGCTTTCCCATTGAATCAGTGACGCAATAATGATTCCGGTACACTACACATCCCAACTCCCATTTCAATTAATCCGTTTATAAACTTCCACATCTTCATTTATGATCGATTAGAAGTAATTGATGAAAAATATTAGTGCCAACGATAACAGTTTTACGGGTAAATTGCAAAAACGTAAAGATAAAAAATTTCCTCCAAAATCGAATTAATTTATTTGGTAATAAGAATGATGATAGCTTATAATAAAATGTACCTATTTCCATCCAATATACTCATTTTGTAGAGCTTTTTTTCAATGTCAAACCTTTGAGGAATTTTCAACAGTTATTGAAAACTGGCAAAAATTAGTTGACTTGCTCATATTAATATTATGCTCTATGGGGGGAAAAATACCTCCCTAAAAAGCACTCACCTAATTAAAGAATATGACCCACGCGAACAAGATAATTCATAGCTCATAAGCAATTCCACAAATTGACCCAACTCGCATTACGCCTTCCCTATAGGGGCATTACCCCATGAGAAAATTATTTATTCAAGTAAAGTATATAATTCATAAATCTAAAGTGTGGTTCATATTTTTGTCAACTATGAACCATTTAATAAAAAATCGCTTTTTTACCCCTCAGAAGGCGAAATGAAAAACGAAAATTTAATAATGTACTAGCAATATTCCAGTATGTTCCTTTCAAAAATTTTGATTAGTTACTGAACATATTGCCAAACGATGTACATTTTCAAACTAGCATTATATCTTATGTCAGAAAGAATCTTCTTTAGAAAAAAGTAATCATCCAATAAAATAATGTCGATTTCATCAACCATTTTGCAAGTTATCCAAACTTCTTAACCGAGGTATCTTTAGACCCTTTTATAGAAGGAAAATACCGCCCCTCAGAAAAAGAATTCGCATGCTTCAAGAATATAATTCACACTTTATTAATGTTCGCTTTTTCTTTAGTAAAAATTACCATTTCACTGGGAAAAAAGATTTGGAGCACAGCCCTTTAATCCGATGTTAGATCCATTTTATAGAACTTGAAAAAACAAAGAACTTCCCAGATTAAACTTTTCCACTCTCACCTTCGACTTTTCAATACCCACCAAGCAAATTGCACAAAATTACCATCTTGTCTGTATCCATATTACGTTCTATAAGAGTAATGAAATGCTCTCCTGAAAAAGGTTCTCATCCACCGGCCCCATCCCACGTGCAGGTCACTTCAGGATGAAATTCTCTGCGTTCATTAGCTCAATGCGACTATGACACGATGTCGACGTAAGTTTGTCAGACACACACGCCAACTAACAAATAGATAGATAAACTTAGCCTTATCTTTCACTTCTTCACTTATATTTTTTTACGCTTCCGGATATTTACACTCTGATATAAATCAAATCATTAGGCTCACCTTTTCGGCATAACATCAAATATTTGATCCCGTTAAAAGACCTAGCTAGGGTGGGTCTCAATAGATTTATCTGGGATTTCTCCATAAGATATGTGCAACGATATGGTAACCATATGCCATTATGACCTTTGGCCAACGCTGACATTCGAACTAACGATGACCGTGATCACAATGCATTTAAATAGATACGCATTAGCGCCTAACGCCCAACGTTAGGTTTTTGAAGACAGTACAATTGCCTAATCAAAAGCACATTTTCTAACCATGAATGTCTCTCAATATTTCACAAGATGCTGAATTTTTCGGTGATGGAACGCCCTGCTGCGTGGCTTGAAAAATTCCTAGCTTAACGTGTTCACTGCTTAATTCACCTTTAATCCAAGCATGTGTCAAAATAACATTTGACCATTGCACATGGAATTTAGAATACTGAAATGGTGTGGGTGAAAAGGCTCAGCTGCGTAGTGAGTCCGCGTGGATAGTAAATTACACCAGTATGTTTTTTAAAGGCGTTCCTGCTACCGACTGTGATATACCAACAAATATTCACTATGTTGCCTGTGTTTTGATCCTCGCAGGCTGACAGGCAGACTATATGGTGGCTTGCGAGTGTCGGAAGACTATAGGGGGTTGACTTATATGTCAGTGTGATCTGGAAATTTACGTCGTGGCTGTTGCTCGGAAAGGCGACTTGACCTCCGCGCCCGTAGCAAACGTACGTATTTTGCAAGGTTCTTGTGCATTTCTTTTATAGCTAAAAAAATTAACGAACTAATTAATTATTTAGGCTATACGTTTCATTTACAGCTTAGGCGATTAGTACCGGCCTGGCATACGTCGGTATTAGCCTCCGGTAGTTACCACTAGAAATTTTTCCTACACCTGCTGCACGGGTGCAGTTCATCTCTAGAAAGTTAGCGCTGTGTTAAAAAAAATTGCCAGTTTTTTGCCAAGGATTCGGATGACTTATCCCTAGCTTTAAATAACTGCCTTTGTTACTTCTATAGACTAAAGATTTCTTACATTATTCACCTTGTCGCTAAGACGCAGTTTTAATGGTTTGTTATTTTTCGATGAGCTGCAGCTCCATCTTTCTTCATATCGAACATACAGATGTTACAATAAACATAGAGGAGATTGGTTTCAAAATACACGTTACACTTAGTCATAAAAAATATGCTAGAAGGCGGCATTTTAGACTTCCTCGATATAGTTACACTAGATTTTTTAAACGCTAGTCGTGCAATATTAACGAAGGCAATTTGCCGCACACGTAAGAAATCCACCATTTTAGGCTTGCGCTTAAATATACAGATCCAAAGGGGATGAAACAGATAGATAACGAGTACTATGATGTGAGCGCTTCTAAAAATAGATACGGGACAGAAGCAGACCTACTCTGTAGGAGACCAAACGTTTTTAGAAGTACCTTTTCGTTCAAGAATGTCCTTTATAACTTCACGGAAATTTACCTTTGCACACATAAAGGTTTAATTCTTTTTTGTATTGATTGTGCTATACTAATCGTCAATCGTGATGAACATAATGTGTAGATAGAGAATGTTAAAATAGTTGTATCTAATAATATATGAGTCTGTGTGATTAGGTCAGTTAATATAAAACGTGAACTTAACTTTTCCCACATTCTCCACAATCATATCTTTTTATACCCAGTTGAAGTACGCGTCATTATGATCTATAACTTTGCACCATTTTGATGGTAATTTATCCCGCTGTTAGAAGCCTGGAGTATAAACGTCTATAACGTTTCAAAAGCCAATTCAACTGTAATTCTTGCAATTTTGCCACAGTGATCTCTGCTACGCGAGATCAAGGGTTCTTGTGCATTGCAGTAATTGTTTGCAGTCGTAATTTTTTTGGCTGCTTAAGGCAATCTCCTCCAATTGTTAACCGTACGCTTCAACCGTAAGCGTCAAATCAGGACTGTTGTAGTAAATAAAACCTGACAGACCCCACAAGCTGATTCAGCCGCACATCATCACCAAGAATGTTGCAATGATTGTCCCAAGTAAAGGCCCCAATTGCTGCTGTCATACTAGCATGTCAATTGGAAGAAGGCAACACTGAAGTCGCAACCCATTCAGCACCTGCGTAAAAAGCAAATGATGTCGATGCTACAAGACCGAACTTGCTCACGATATCATCGAAAGGCCGAACTGTAGCTGCATGCTGTATGATGGAAACAATAAACGTAGGCCTACACAAACTAAAATAATAATACTAATGTAAAAGATACACATTGAGGAATATTTATCCGTTAATGGCCTCGAGATCGGAAAAAAATGAATAAGTGCGCAAACAATGACGACACACCAATTCGCAGAGATTGACATTGAAGACAATTCATTGCGATGGGAACTGATACGCGCACAAAGCTATCTATTATGGAATGCCGTTGTATGTAATCTGCGTTTACTGCAATTTAATATTCAATCAAATTAGTTTATACACCTTTGCTGGCAGTAGTCAAACAATTCATATATGCGGGTCAAATCACAATATCTCAAAAGCATAATGAGTATTTAAGGCCACTAAAGCTCTGCGTCCTATGGGTAATACGAGTCTTAGTGCGCTCTAATTGTTTGAGGTTTTTCACTGTACGATTTTCCTGAATTACGCCAATCCTATACGTTACAATCGAAGCTATTTTG